GAGGAAAGAGAGCAGAGTGTCAGATCCCATATGGGGGGGAGCCACTATAGGTCCGAGAAGAGATCTGGAACTAGAAAGATCTCCAGAGGCCTACAAGGATGACACGATCTGACAGTCGGGGCAGTGGAGGAGAGGATGGTCTAGAAGCCCTTCCCCTAGAATGAGAGTGATGACTACTCTCTATGCTATCCTAGAGTCCTCATCCAGTGGCTGATGGAAGCAGAGACCGACATCCACAGATTTACACTGAGCTGAAATTGGGAATTTAGTTGAAGAGAGGGAGAAATGAAGAGCCAAGGGGTCTGTACCAGGTTGGAGAAATCCCAGGAACAGTTGTCCTGAACAAGGGAGAGCACATCGACCCCAGATGCTGTCAGGGAGGCCAGTACAAGACTGATCCTGACTCCTGAACATGGATGTCAATAAGGAGGCCTCTGCACTCCAAGGAACCTCATAATAATAATAATAATAATAATAATAATAATAAAAAGAGAGAAAAAATGTGGCTGGAAACAAATTAAACTCACTGATACAACAAAGCTTACTGAGCTTGGTGGTATGTTTCTCAAGTTCTGTACTGACACATTTAACCCAGGAACCTAATTTCAATGCTCACCTTCTAAAGCATTAGGAATTTAGGGAGAACAAGGAGGCTAAGAATATATGGTTGATTTATAAAACACAAATATTGTATGGAGAGCCCTTGTTTATAATGCTCAAACACGAAGAATAGCAAGTGGAGGAGGAGGAAGGGTAAGCCAGGGGAGAAAGAGGAAAATTCAGGAAAAGAGGAAACATATAGGCAGTATAAGAGGGAGTCTCAGGTGGAGGGAAAGTGATTCAGAAGTGATTCTATACACAAGGAATTTGTATTTGTGTCTTAAGAGTCTCATCTACAGCAAATATAACCATTAATCACACAGAGAAAGGGTGATTTTTAGCAAGAAAGTATGACATGTTTAAGATCATTTCATAATCTATTTCACATTAAATTTTACATAAATTCATATGAGCTGTATCAATGTACCCGATTCTGTAACACAATGGCCATGAAAGTCAATAGGAAACTAAATAGAATAAATGTTGAATGAAGAGAACCACTTTCACAGCTGGAGACCTTGATGGAACACATGAGCCTATGGGAGACATTTCACATTCAAGCCTTTAACTACTTTAACAGTTCTGTCATGCTGTGGATTCCACAATTCTCTCATCATCTATTGCCAGGCCATTTGTACACTTTATTATGTCTAGCTGCCAGGAAGATATTTGTAATACTTTGAGTACACTTTATAATACTGCTGCATTAATGGTTGAAACTGGACCAAGAATGTAGCTCATCATCATTTTTCCCTTTTAAATTACTCTGTAAGAGTTGGGTCAGTATCTTTGTCTACTTGCACACGTATTCACTTTGGTTTAAATATATATCTGTCTGAAGGCTCTTCAGGACAGATGACTCATACCTTCCATTTCACCGTTTGTCACATTCTCACTTCTTTGTTCTATAGGCGCAGCTAAATGACATGCATCTTCCTTCCCCAGCAGCTGGAATGAACATAAAATTTGAGCTGCATAAAATCTGCTGCTAACTTTGAAGAGTTCGTGTTCTCTCAATTTAAAGGCAGCAAGACTAGAAAGCAAGCAGAGCATTTGTAGGGTTCCATGCTATTTGAATACAGATCCTAATGTCGTGTCTTCCTATGACCACTGACCAGGAAAACCAAATGGGGAAGGGCTTCAGAAGTATTTTTGATGAAAGAAAGAGTAGGCATAATTGATATGTCAACATGAAAAAGGCATATTTAGGATTAAGTTAGTGTTTTTAAAAAATAAAGAAAGCGCAGCCTGAATGCACAGATGCACATAAATCCTTCCATCTATGAAATGAATCTGAAGTGCATTTGCATGTTTTTAAATCAATATCACACATATCTTAAACTCCAGTCTTTCACATACCAACTCTCAAGGTTACATAGACAGCACAATATTCTACTACAAGTATAGAGTCACAGCAATCTAATATTACTTCCATGATCATAAAATAGAATCACCACCTTCGTGTTAAACACATATATACTAAAAAAATTATGTAATATCACCTTAAAACTAATTATGGACATTTAAATTAAATCCGTTCCCCATTTTACAAATATAAAAACTGGATGTAATGAGGGTGGGATTGAATGGAGACTTCAACGTGTCTTTGTTTCACTCTCTACACTCTTAATTTTGCATCTCTGTGTATGTGTAATTATGTACTTGTGTGAATGGGAATACTTGCACAAATGTGTTCCTGCCTGTGGAGGCCCAGATTGACTTCATAAATCTTCTCTGATTGCTCTCCACTTTATTCATGCAGCAAGATCTCCAAATTGAGTCTGAAGTTTACCAACATCTACAGTCTGGCTAGTGGCTAGCTAGCTTGCTCTTTGGTCCTGTCTTTAGCTTTTTAGTTATTGAATTACATGTGGGTTTCTGTACCCACTCAGCATTTATATGGGCCCTGGGGACCTGAACAGTGAATGATCTTTACATTTCTGTGGCAACCACTTTAGCTACTGACCCATAAACCAGTTCCTTATTAACTAGACACTTTTAAAACAGTATTCATCATCTGTTCTGCATATTAAATGAATTAATTCAATACTATGAAAAATCCAACAACCTGCTGGTGTTTATTAATTATCTGTAGGTCTTTCTTACATCTACTTTTTCAACACTTAGACTTACAGGTTATGATAATGGAAAAGAAATGGATCCTATAAAATAAAATAAATCAAAGATGTCAACAGAAAAATTCATTGGAAATCCACTTAGTTCCCCACAGGAATAAAGGAACATCAGCAAATGTTACACATGTTAACCAGTTCTTGCATTGCACTTGCTGTAAGAGTATAAACCACTTATGCTTTCAATGCCCAATGTTGTTTTGAAGGTAGGGAAGGATATGAGGAAAGAAAACGGTTTAATTTCTTCTTGTATTTCCTATGTAGAGAACAGTATGCTAATTGCTTGCTTTAGATAAAGAACTTTTCAAAACTTTTAATATTTAGTGGTAACAATTTTGATAACATAGTTTGAATATGTTCATAAAGATTATTGACATTTTCTATAACAGCATATTTGTATTTATATAATATCTTACAGGAACAAGGAATTAAACACTTGTAAATCCCACCTAAGGAAGAACTTTGAAAGTGTTGAGCAAGGCTTAGGGGTGAGGAAAGCATAAGAAGATTTATTGGGAGTCTGGTGTATGTTTGCCAGGCACTCACTGAACATCTCCTTGTCTGTACCTCATAAGTTTAAATGTGACTATGAGGCCATTTGTACCATTGCTTCTGGTCATTCTGCAACGGGAAGGACCGCGTGATGGATAGATGTGTTCTACTCTGTCTAGTGTGCCATCTATTCACTACCTTGACTGACTTGTTCTCAATGCTTAGGGTGCAGTTAAATATCACAGAGGACAATTTAACTATAGAATCCCATACACAACTCCACTGACTCCACCTACAAACAAGACTCTTATTCTTCATGTAAGCATCTTTGTTTAATTTATATAAATCACCTACTATGACCATAAATGCTTGCGTCTTCCTTATCTCTGCTACTCTGTCACTGTGTCATAAGACCTTATCGGGGTTTTTCAGTGCTTAATATATAAAGAGAGTTCATATGATAAATAGTAATTTATTCAAAATTAAAATATTTAAAATGTCACCAACAGCATACCAAACTTAGCTATGATATTAGTTTAACAAATGACTACTAAAAATTTATATACATGAACTCCATATGGCTATGTGACTTAATATGAGCCACCTAAGATAAGACTAATAGCTGTCTATGTAGGAAAGTACATAGTAGTTTGCATGATATTTGCTAGTTTATACCCTTTAAATGAAGAAAAGCTAAGAAGGTGTTTTTTACATGTTAGCACATATTTGACCAGCACTGAGAGTACATATTCTCAGAATGAATTTCCAGTGGGCAATAGATATCATCTAGAGACCACAAGGAAGGATTCAGCTTTAAGGTTGGGATTATCGACTAGTAATCCAAAACCACGTATCTTGACCCACCCTTTAGTATCAATACAATTGGAAGCTGTCACATATATCTTTTTCAAATGTACAAGTCTCATAACTTTTAGAAAGATGCTGGCACCTGAATGAAAGATGTTTATCTCTGTAATTTATGTAGACCTTAAAATAATGTAACAAACATGATGAACTAACATTTTAAAAAGTAAACATTGAACTGACCATTTGCTCTTTAGGATAATCTAAAGTGTAACTTGTTCACCTAAGCTACCCTGTTAAACAAACAGTATTGAATGACAATTGTCAGTATAAATATTTACATACCACTGAGTTAACTCCTTCACTGTTGTAATGCCTTGTTTGTCCTTCTGTTGATGTCACTTCTTTGTCTGGTTTTGCTGAAAAAAATGCACATATTTAAGGAAATAAAATATAATGATGTGGTAGTTAAAATAAAAGTATATATATATATATATATTTATATGCTTAAAATTATTTAAAATAAAGTTTCAATGCTTATTTTCCTAACTAGTAGTTTTCTTTAACCTTAGTATTTGTGTGAGCACATAGGATCTGTTGTGGGATACTTGCACACTGTGTGAAAATATATTGCTGTGATTGGTGTAATAAGAACCTGAATAGCTAATACCTAGGCAGGAGGTATAGATGGTACTTTCAGGCAGAGTGAGAACTTGGGAAGAAGAAGGCTGGGTCACAAGACTGATGCAGAGCAAGCAGCATGGGCAGTATGGAGAGATGAGGTAACAAGTCATGCAACAGAATGCAGATTAAGATAAATGGGTTAATTTAAGTTCTAAGAGCTGGTGGGACAAATCTAAGCTAAGGCTGATCTTTCATATTAAGAAGTCTCTGTGACATTATTTGGGAACTGGCTGGTGGGACAGAGAAAGACTAGTAACAAGGATCCCTATAGCTTCTGTCTTTAATACCTGAGAACTACAGAAGAAGTCTGATGATGCCGTTCACACAATTCTAGCTCTCCCTTCTGCTTCCAATAACCTGTGATGCCACAATGGTGTGTGTGTGTGTGTGTGTGTGTGTGTGTGTGTGTGTGCTCACATGCGTGTGCAGGTGCTTGTGTGATTGTGTGTACATGTACATATGTGGTGTGTATGTGTGCTTGTATTTTTGGTTGTGAACCTAGCCTTTAATGGCTGAGCCATCTCTTCAGCCCATGTATGTGTGCTTGTATGTGAGAGCATACATACATGTCTGTGTGTCCAACTGAAGTATCAAAGGAGCCATCCAATTTGAGACAAGATCTTGTGTTGGTATGGAACTCACAGCATAGGCAAAACTCTCTGGTCAGTGAGCTCCAAAGTCAACAACCTCTCCAGACCTAAAGCTGCAATTTCAAGGGTGCTAAAACATGCTTCTTTCTTGCAGGGAAACTCCAGTCTTCATGCTTGCACTAAGTATTTACAGAGTGAGCTTCTCCACTAACCACAGGACTTTTGTTTGAATGAGAATATAATGAAAACATATGAGGCACATTTTTCTGGATGCATAGGGAGCTGGTGGTGAGGAGACCAAAGTGACTGCCTCTGCTTTCCTTCCCTGAGACAAATCCTCAAGTGTTAAATCATCTCTTCATTCCTTCCATTTTCTAGATATGTTCTTCTTTCTGTTCATTTACTGTTAGATGTATAATAGTGCTTCGTTTTCTCTATCCCTGACTCAGCCACTATGTAAGAACTGTACAACTAGAATGATCAAATCAAGCGATAGCACAGAGAGTTAATGTGAAAATTCTGAAAGGAAGCTAAAAATTGCTGTCATTCATCTCTTTGGAATGTCTGACTGTCTAGAAACACGCTCAGAAACAAAACAGTAGTCAACCACTCTTTGGTTGTGTTATGTTTCAAACCATGATCAAATGTACTTTTGCATAGCACTTGTGATATCTGATCCTCAGCACACTGTGTAGTTAATCAGAATCTTGCTGATAAACCATGGGAAATCCAGAACCCCAGAGCAGCCTAATCTCAATGTCAAGTCTGTCATGAGACACACAAGTGATCCATCAAACTTGAGAATTTATACCTGATAGGAGATCTCCTTCTAAATTATATTACTTCAGTTCTTTGTCAAGTCTGGCTTTTTTCCTCTTCCAAATGTTCACAAAATTAAAAGCACAGAAGAATCAAACATTGCCGGCGAGGCTTTAAACTGGCCAGAACACACTTAAAAAGTTCGCAGCCCTCTCAGTGCCTTGGTTCTCTCTGTCCTATTACTTGGGCTTCTGTGATACTACTCTGAGAAGTGATTGGATATTGGATATCCACTATTGGATATTGACTTCTATCCAAATGTTATATGGCAACTGTGTCTCTATCTGATGAAACTCAAGAACAAGTCCCCATGATGCTTTATCGTGCTTAATGGCATCCCCCAAAAATAATGAAGTGAAATGCATGTCTTTGCTGGTAGCACTTGGTTACATATTAGAAGGTCACATTGTGGTTCCTGCATATATACTATTCTATATTTCATTTCCTAGAGAATGTCAGTGTTTTGCAACTCCTCTCTGCACACCTTTGCTGGCTTATGTTTCCTCCCTGTACTCAATAACTATCACAGCGTTCCCTCTCCTACCTTCTCTTCACTTTCTTTATTATGTGCCTCAGGTAACTCAATACTTTGTAATCTACTTGGAAATCCGGATGCTGTAGTGGGGCATTACATTTCAATATTTGCAGAAAGTAGACTGTACATCATTCTTATTACCATGTAACTTCCTGCATGAGATATAGGTCAGTATCTTTGTCTACTAGAATAACTTGTTCCACCTGACTCATCTAAATATTACTTACACGAACATAAAAGCTACATCTTACCTTCAGTTTCTGCATTTGCCATATTTTCTAGGATTTGATCTGGAGTCACAGAAAAAGGAACCTCATTTTCCATATACGTGGCAGTCTCAGAGGTTGTCTGTTAAAATTAATATAAAAAGGACACCTAAATACCAATTCCAAATGCAGCCAGTTTCAGAAATTAGAGTACTAAATATTGTAACCCATGTCTTTTGAACTAAGGATCTTGTATGTTACCTAAATCAAATCTAGTTTCTCTTGCTATATAAACACCAGACAACAGACAATACACATAAGATCATCTGCGACACTTTAAGAGAAATAAGGCTGACACCAAAATGCCAGGAGCAAATATAAATGATGATAATTTAGTAATACTTTCCAAATAAAATTTAATACTTGGGAGGCAAAAGCAGACAGATCTCTGAGTTTGAGGCCAGCCTGGTTTACAGAACAAGTTCCAGGATAGCCAGGACTATCTCAGAAAAAATAAATGAAATTTAAACCGCACATATGTCAAACTTTCCACCTATAAAAACAAATATCAAGTTCATTTTTTTTATTAAATTACAACCACCACTGAAATGTATTAAAATCCCATCTTTAAGAGACTGATAAATGGATAGTTATAGTGAGGGAAGCATTCCAGTAAGACTGTTTGATGATTAATAGGAATCTAGTATTAGCATAAAACTAGCAAAAATCATTTTATATGACTATGGTAAATAGCATGGTCATTTTAACACTATGAATGACAAAAATGAACTATACATTAATACATTAAATCTGTAAGTTAAACCTCTTAATTTATCTTAATTTCACTCAGTGGATAGATTAACTGAAGCTATTACACATCACATAGAATGAACACATCAACCTGGGATTGTTTAGTAAAATAAAGCCTTCTTAATACCCAATCTGTTCTGTGTATTCAACAAATATTTATTATTTAGTTTGCAAAACTCAATAATCCGGCTGTTGGTTCTTTCTTATATGTAGCCAATAAATGTCTTTTTTGTTTGTTTGTTTGTTTGTTTGTCTTTTTCGAGACAGGGTTTCTCTGTGTGGCTTTGGAGCCTATCCTGGCACTCACTCAGGAGACCAGGTTGGCCTCGAACTCACAGAAATCTGCCTGCCTCTGCCTCCCGAGTGCTGGGATTAAAGGCGTGCACCACCAATGCCCAGCTGCCAATAAATGTCTTTAATGAGGACAATTAATAATTGAATGGATCCCATAAAACAAAATTTAAAAATGTAAGTTATCAACAAGGAAAATACTATGTAAAATAGAACTGTACATTCCAATCCCAAGTAAAGTCCTAAAAAATTATAACTTGAAAGTAACTCTTATTAGAACAGTTGATGTCATAGAGTGTCACTGATTAGAACTCTCTCAGACATTGTTGTGAAGGAAGAGGAGGCTGTGTGAAAAGTAAAACCTTTACTTACCTGCTCATTCAAGAAACTGTAGTTTGATTAAGTAATTGGAATGTTATGAGTTGGTGCACTCAGAGGAACTAGTAATTTTCAGAAAGACACGAGGCAACAAAATTAAGATGCTGTTTAGTTTTGAATGAACATCTCTAAAAATACTCTAAATACTATAAGATGGTAAAATGTTTTTTAAAAAAATGCAAACATGATTATTCCACATGGTAGTATACTATATAACTGTATGTGCCTATGCTATCTTGCTAAACAAAACAACACAGTGTTATTTATTTACATACCCATGAACAAATATTTCCATGGCCATCTTGATTTTGTTCCATTGATAATATTCCTTTGCCTGGAACTGCTAATGAATTCACAAATTTATATAGCATTAATTATAATGTGGTGGTAGAAAAAATGAAAGTATTATATTGAAATAATTAGAAATGTTTAAACTTAGTTATAATAAATGATGGATTTTTATGACTTTTAGAAAACCTAATGTGGAGTTGCAAATTTGATATATTATGCGATACATGGAATCATACAAGGTTTACATACAGAGGCAAGGTGGTAATTTAACACCCATTTGTTATACATGGATATTGTATATGAAAGGCCTGTCTGTAAATGCTCAAACAGAGAGAATAGTAGATGTATGAGAAGGAAGGAGACTACAAGAATTGCATAGAAGGAAGAGAGAGTAGGCAGAAGAGGAGGAGGAAGAGGAGAAGGAAGAAGGGTAGAACAGTTGGAGCAATAGTACTTAGGAAGTGATTTGATTTGATGGGCAAGCAGCTTGTATTTATGGCTACTTCTCATTCTTAGCACAAATTATAATTAATCACACACACACCAACACAGGATTATTTTTAAACTATTTATCTATTCATGTATTTATTTGTGTGTGTGTGTGTGTGTGTGTGTGTGTGTCTGTCTGTCTGTCTGTCTGTCTGTCTGTCATTTGTCTGTCTATGTATCTGTCTGTATGTGTGCAGGAATGCATGTGCCATGGCTCACATGTGGAGGTTTGAAGAAAACTGTAGTCAGTTCTCTCATACTACCTCATGGGATCCAGGAATGAGCTGAGATCATTAGGTCTTTGCATAGTCTCCTCTACCCAATGAGCTGCCTCACTGACTCAAGATGATACTTGAAGAAAGATTACATTGTCTGGCTATATTACATTTTATTATATTATGCTGTAACATTTATACTCAACCACACTATCTGTAGCAACAAGGCTGACTCTGCCTGAGTTGCTGCTCTGATTTCCCTCAGTAATGGACTGTTATCTGGAAACATAACATAGTCTCTTTTCCACCCAAGGTCCCTTTTGAACAGAGATTGACACAGAGTATCAAGCACTATATGATTATGGTGTGCTTCCAGGAATGGCCACATTGTTTCTGATCATGGTGTTTATCCCAGCAAGAGAAACCATAAGATGGTATGATGGGGGTTGTCCTTCTGTATATATGTTTCTCTTATTGGTTAATGGATAAAACACTGTTTGGCCAATGAGGCAGGAAGATAGGCAGGTCTAGGAGACAAGGAGAATTCTGGGAAAGATAGGCAGAGTGGGCCCACCACACAGAGTTGTGATGCTGCTGAAGGAGTAACAACATGCCCGGGACATTACCGGGTAAGCCACAGCATAGTGGCAATGCATAGATTGATAGAAATGGGTTAATAATTAAGATAGAGCTAGCCAATAAGAAGCCCTAGCCACTGGCTAACAGTTTTATAATTAATATAGCATCCATGTGTTTATTTGGGGCTGAAGCAGTTGTGGGACCAGACTGGCGGGGTGGAAAGAGGGAAGCATGAGGCGTGGCTCTTTGGCAGGCTCTTTCTCTTGGGTCAGCCGATCCGATAGGAAGGGCAGAGAAGTGCTCCCGTGTTTATTATTATCTTTGTAAGTGTTCCCCAATAAACACCCATTTTTCATTTATCTTGGGTCTAGTGGTAGCAGACGTAGATGGCCATCTATTCTATTGGCTCAGTTTTCTGTTTCAGATTAAGACTGTTTCTCATCCTTACACTCACAACATTACAACCACAGGAGAAATTTAACATGTCCAAATAGATTTTTGGACTGCTATGGTGTCCTTGACCATCTCAAAGCATACCCATTGTTTTTCTTTTCTGGTTTTCTCATTTGGGTGCTTATAATACTGATTGAGTAGTAACCACTGTTGGACATTAATTCTTATTCCTGTATGACATACTAGCTAGGTTTCTATTTGCCCTATGAAAATCAAACATTGGTATGTAGGATGGGGCACTAAAATGTCCAATGTCTTCCCAAAACGGAAGACAGCTGCAAATTCATGCTTCTGTGATCATGATACATAGATAATATGCACATTAGAGATCACTTTATGATTCTGACATCTCTATCACCCTATGTTTCATATTTTAAAGAATTTCCACTATACCATTCTTGGCCCTATACCCAAAGGATGCTCAATCATACCCCAAGGACTTTATTTGTAATTGCCAGAACATGGAAACAATTTAGATGTCCCTCAACCAAAGAAGGGATAAAAATAATATGGTGCATTTACACAATGGAATATTGTTCAGCTGTTAAAAACAATGACATTGTGAAATTTGAAGGCAAATGGCTAGAACTAGAAAAAAAGTCATCCTGAGTGAGGTAACCCAGACCCTGAAAGACAAACATGGTCTGTAGTCCCTCATAAATGGATATTAGCTGTAAAATAAAGGATAACTATGATATAAACCACAAACACAGACAGGCTAGGTAACAAGGGGAGATCAAGAGGGACACTCAATGTTCCCATGAAGGGGAGATATAAGATATTTTGTGGGTGAACTAGGGGTAGGTATCTAGTGGGGGTGAGAATAATGGAAGAGACAACTGGAAAAGGTATCATTTCTGGGTCAGATAGAAACCTGGTGCAAGGAAAACTCCCAAGAATCTACAAAGATGATGCCAGATAATGCTCCTGTCATTAGGGGTTATGTAGCCTGAACTGGCCATCTCCTGTGACCAGGCAAGACTACCATTGGAGGGATTGGGATACCAACCTGGCCACATAAACTTCAACCTAGTCTGTCCTGCCTATGGGATGTGCTGGGGGTAAAGGCACCAAGACTGTGGGTGTGGCCAACCAATGGCTGGTTCACCTGAGACCCATGAGAGTAACCCACCCCTGACACTTCTTAGATCTCCAGGACTCACACTAGATGGCCTAGAGATCTAGGAGAGAACCAAACATGACCGGAGGAAAAAAAATCAATGTAACGATGCCTAACAATATTCTGCTATACTCAGATTGGTGCCTTGCCCAACTGTCATCAGAGAGGTTTCACTCAACAACTGGTGAAAACAGATGCAGAAACTACAGTCAAACATTAGGCTGAGCTCAGGGAATCCTGTTGAATAGAGAAAGGAAGGACTACAGGTGCCAGAGGGTTCAAGTACATCATAAGAAACCCCACAGAATCAACTAACCTGGGCCCATAGGCCCTCACAGAGACTAAACCAATAACCAGGGAGCCTGCATGGGACTGACCTAGGCCCTTTACACATATGTGACATTTGTGTAGCTTGGTCTTCTTATGAGATTTTTAACAGTGGGAACAGGGCCTGTCTCTGACTCTTCTGCTGGCTTTTGGAACCCTACACCTCATACTGAGTTTCCTTGCCCACCCTAATACAAGGCGGTATGCTTAGTCTTGCTGCAACTAAATATGCCATGTTTTATTGATATCTGTCTTAAGTTAGTGTTACTGTTGCTGTGAAGAGACACCATGATCATGGCAACTCTCATAAAGAAAACATTTAATTAAGGTGGCTCACTTAACAGTTTCAGAGGTGCAATCTGTTATCATCATGACAGGGAGCATCGTGGCCTGCAGGTAGTCATGGTGTTGGCTACATCTTGACCAGAAGGCAGCAGGAAGTCCACTAACTCACTGGGCAGTATGCTGAGCATAGGAAACCTCCAAGCCCACTCCACAGTGACACACTTCCTCCAACAAGACCATATTCACTCCAACAAAGTCATACCTCCTGATGGTGTCATTCCCTATGAGATTATGGGGGCCAATTACTACCACAATATCTATGGGAGGCCTGCCATTTTCTGAGTAGGAATGAAGGAGAAGTGGATGGGGGAAGGGGAGGGGGGGGGTCTGGAAGAGGGGATGGAGGAAGAACTGTAGTCAGTAGTCAGGATATAAAATAAATAAGTAAATATTTTAAAAAGTAAAGTAAGCATAAGGCATTAAATACAAGAATTTTATTACCCACCCCCCCACACACTGAACACATGTCTTCACTTCCTTTTTGTCACTTGATGGCTCTCCTGTCACTCCTTACTCTACCTCCTTTTCTTGGTACTCCTCAGACATTATGATACCTTGTGATATATTTGTATCTCAGCTGCTATAGCAGCTCATTCAATTACAGTGTTTGCAGAAACTGTGTGTAAATGGCCTGTATTAAGCTTTAACTTGCTATGGAGAAATAGGTGAGTATCTCTGACTAGAAGAATACACCAACCCTCCTGATTCCTGTAAATATTTGCCCTAAAGGGCTACACATAACATCAAGATCTTACCTTGCATTCCCACATTTGTGATGTCTTCTGCTCTTCTATCTGTAGTCCTGGCTAAGTGAACCACATCATCCTCCTGTGAAAAGGTCTCTGAGATAGTCTGTTAAAATTAATATGGAAATAAGTTGAAAACTACCTTCCTTTCTCATGAGAGTGCCTGAGTGCCTCACTCCAAAAGCTATTAGGATGAAAACTCAGGCAGCATGTATTGGAAACCATTGCCAATCAGGCTGAAACCCTCAAGTGTTATCTAGCTCAAGCCTAACTGCTGAGTTCACATCCCTGTCTCCGGGAACACCACACATGGAAGAAAATCTGAGACATTTTCTAGGAGTCAGAATAACTGGCAAGCATGTGTCAACATGTAAAGACAAGTCAGGATGATTTGTCAATATTTTAATATGAGAGTTTATACCAAATACATAAATGATACCTTTGACATATAAAAATAAATTTTGTTTTCTTTTTCATATTTAAAATCACTGCCACAATGTGCGAAACTTCCATCCTCAACTAAACTACTCACAAATACTTTAGTTACACAAGAATCCCACAAACCAATAGAAGAACTTAGAGGCATCAAATATTTTTTACCATGAAAACAGTTTTTAAAAATGTGTGTGTTTCACTTATTTGCTCAAGGTAAAGTACCATTTCTGTCTTAAAATAATAATAATAATTAAAACATAACAACCTATAAAGCTCACAGTGATTACAATCTTATTCCCCTGTCACAGACTGAGGGACTGATGAAAATGTTGATACAAACAGTGGCAACCTCAATATGGCATGGCTTCAAGGTGTAGTCTTTTCTTAATAAGCATAAGCCAACGAGTATGCAAAACCCAACAAGCCTTATATGTTTAGACACATGTGCTGGATCTTTCTTACATGTAATCAATAAATATACGCATCAACAATAGCAATAAGTAAGCAGATCAAATCAAAGAAAAATAAAATACCGAAATTATCAACAAAGAAAATACCTGGAATATCAAACTTAGCATTCAATTCCCAGAGAAAAGAAAGAAATTTCTAGAAGCTAGAATAAAAAAAAAAGATCTCTTATAAGAAGAACTAAGACAATAGGTACTGGCCAATTACAATCATTTCCATAATCGATTCTGATATGAATAAACAGCGGGATATGTGACAACAAAGAGATGTACTTACTGCTGACTCAGGAGGATGTATTTTGATTTTTAACAAATTAGTATGTTACAGCACAGAAACACATGGAGTTTCAAATAATTTTCACAATATTGAGCAGAGAAAATAAGACCATGTTTATCTTTGACTATATATAAGGAACCCCAAGAATATGTTAAGAATAAGATGACAAAATATATTTTAAATAAAGAATGTAATGTGACCAACTGTTGTGTCTGATAGTCTGATATGTAATTGTATTTGCCTCTCCTATGTTATTAGACAAGATAAAACAAAGCAGTATTGAATGAGACCCAGTATTGTAACATTTACATACCCATGACTGTACACTTTGATGGTCCTCATGCCCTTTTCGTTCTTCTGTTGGTGCTACTTCATTGCCTGGTTCTTCTGACAAATGAATATATTTAACTAACGTTAGCTATAATATGGTAACAGAAAAAATGAAAGTATTATATAGAAATAAAATGAATGTTCAAACATGGTTTTGATGATACTAAATTTTCACTTTTCCAATTAACAATTTTAAGGGCTCTTACATTAGTTGTTTAACGTATTGTGAGATACACATCAGTTCATTTAAACTTAAATATATCACTCGGACAGACTTTATATAGTCAAGGTAAAGAGAACTCAATGATTTTAAATATTTACCCTTAAATGAACCACTTAATATGAATGAACAAACTCTAGACACAAAACTAGAAAATGCCATTGAAATATTCAAATTCATAGACTACAACATTCTCAACCTCATATCTAAGGAAATACTGCTGTAAGATGTGGGCTGGTGGGAGACATCCACAGCCTGCTAGGCACCTTACGGCACCATGTGGGTGCCTCCCGTTATGATGGGCAAATACTTGGTGGAGAAATGGGAGATAAAGAGAAGCAGAATGGTTCATGTCCTGTGGGGAGAGGCAGAACAGGTGAAATGAATGTGGTGGGAAATAGGTCGATGTGGGAAGCCTGCTTGCCACCCAAGGCCATTGTGATATCATGGCCTAGGCTGCTGCCAAGGGTCATGTCTGGCTCCATGGTCCTATCACAGCCAGTGGCTGTGTGAACATCCATAGCCCATGTTGCCACTAAAGGCCACAAAGATGCCCAGTGTCTGGGCTGCATGTTGTCCAGGCCTGGGCTGCTGCTGAGGGTCATGTCTGGTTCTCAGGCTCTACAATATCCAGGGTCTATGTTAATGTCCATGTCCACCATATTTGCCACCAAAAGCCACATGGAAGCCCAGTGTATAGGCTGCAACCTGTGGCCTTGGTGTCCAAGGGCTATGACACCACTGGAGACATGCTGGTCTGGGCAGCCTGTGCTGCCACCTGGGTCCAGGCCCAGGTTGATCTTAAAGGCCAGGTCTGGGTCCTTGCTCTACAGCAGCCAGGGGTCTGAGTCTATGTCTGTGACTCCTATTGCAACTGAAAGCCATGTGGTTTCCTGTGGTCTAATAAGTCACCTGCTGCTATGTTGGTGCCCAAGGGTCATGCTGCAGCTGGGGCCATACAGATCTGAGTGTCATATACTATTATCTGGTGCCATTGTGACATCCAGGCCAGGTCTGCAGCTGGGAGCCATGTCTAGGTCTGTGGCCCTACTGTAGCCAGGGTCTATGTTGATGTCCATGGCTCCTGATGCCAATGAGGGCCATGTTGATTCCTGGGGTCAAGGCTGCCACCTGGGGCCATGGGAACATCTAGGGATACTGCCAAGGACCATGTCTGTCTGGGCCCATGGTCCTACCATAGCATGGGTCAGCCATCTGTGTCCATGTTGGTGTCCAAGGGCCATGCTGCAGTCGGGGCCATGCAGATCAACGTGGTCTGTGCTGCTACCCAATGCCAAGGTAATATCTGTACCAGAGCCGCAGCTGAGGGCCATGTCTGGATCTGTGACCCTACTGCAGCCAGGATCTGTGTTGAAGCCCAAGGCTAGAGTTGCTACCAAAGGTCACAAGGAAGTGAGGGATTGGGGCCGCAACTGGTGATCTTGTTGGTGTTCAGGGGCCATGCTGCCTCTGGAGCCATCAGGATTTGAGTGGCCAGAGCTTCCACCTAGAGCCAGGGTGTCATCCAGGCTGATAGGCCCTGCTGCAGAGGTTCAGTAGTCCAGCTGTAGCTGCAGTCTGTGTTGATGTCTGTGGCTTGTGTCACCTCAGTGGGCCATAGGACCCATACATGATGAAATCAGAGGGCCATGCTGAGCTGTCCCACCCTTTCCTGGCCCTGCCTTGCTGAACACTGTGGCAAGAGAGCTGGCCCCGACCCACAGAGGGGAGCTGACCCATGCTCTCTCGAGAAATGGCTCCACCCCTCACCACTGGAGAGGGAAAACTAATTCTGGTGGCATGGGAGAAGGAGAACTGGCTCTGCTCCCTCACCTGATGCAAGTGGCCCAGTGGCCAGAACTGACCAGCTCAGCTACCACCCGGGTCCACAGCCAGGCCTTGGGTAAGCCCATCCTAACATCTATCCCTCTAGGACCTGCTGGAGAAAGTGAAAGTACTGGTCCTGTGAAATGATACCCGAAGGGACTCCCTTAACTAGGGAAGGCCGCAGGATATCCCAGAGGATCCAGTGAGGATGGTGTGCCAGAAGCCGGGGGCCTTGAACCAAACCAGTGACTCGCTGTAATGAACATGTACTAGTAAAGCTGACTGGACAAAATGGTATACTATGTGGCACACCCCTCACAATGCCACCAGGATGAATGAAGAGATTTTGGAGAGGTGGGGAAGATAGAGAAGCAAAGAGGTTTTGTTTTTGTTCTTTTTGTTTGTTTGTTTGCTTGATAAGTTTTGTTTTGAGTTTTGTCAAATTTTCTTTTGGGGTGGTGTCTCAGAGGTGAGGGGAGGGTATGGAGGTATTTGGAGAGAAGCAGAATTGGGGTATATGTTGTGAAATTCCCAAGAATTAATAATTAGTTAAATTTTGTAAATTAAAAATAAAAAATACTGCTGTTTTTTCTGTATTATATGCAGAAGCAAACATATCCAAAAAGTTTTGTCTACTTTCCTAACATTCTTGTTTCCAATTTTTAAACTCTATCAGTTGTAGGAAACCTTAGCTGATTGGCTGTTTAGTTTCTAAAGACTAAGTATCTCTCAAATGGGATTCCCTTATGTGTTTCCTATTGTGTTTGATAATTTAATCATTCTATATGTATGTATCTTTTGGTAACAGATTATAAGGAACAAAATTTTCTATTTCTTTGTGTAATGAGTCCTTATTCTTATTCATTAATTATTAGTTGAAATACTGCAAATGTGATGTAGGGGTTGGTAATTTTACCCCGTCAATGGAAAAGTCAGCAATAGATCTCCCACTGGTAAGCTTAGATGAAGGCAAAGCAGTGTGGTTAGGTGCCTAGACATTTGGAAATTGTGAAAACACAACAGAAGAAACAAATGGAGGTTATATTACTCTTACTTACATGAATTGGTGGGAAACATATATTATCAGATGGTAATGTGAGTGAAAAATGAATACAGATGAATACAGAGAAGAATGTGAAGTTGGTAAGTTAGGCCAAATTATTATTTGATTATTAAACAATTGCTAATAAATTTTAGATATTTAGAGGGTAACATATTTGAAGTATCCTGTTGTTCACTTGCACTTAGATCAGGGCATGTGCAGGAAGAAAGCACACCCTATAAACAGGCACACTTATCAGAGGGTTGCCTTCATTAGAAATCAAGATGTGCAGACTCTGACCTGGCCTGGGAAATGCTTCCAGAAATGTTCATGACATGACACAGTCTTGTAATATTTATATTAAGTCACATGATCTGTGAAAATGGACCTCATTCTTCGACTCGGCACAGACACTGAATGCCATGGCAAACTAGGTGGGGAAAAAAAAAACAGTGTACGTGGATTTCCAATTTCTTTGGGTTTCTTGTATGAACGAAAATGTATCTTCACCATTTTCAACTCGGGAAATTACTGTAGTCTTGAGATGGGCCTGAATTCTACAGGTCAGGTGAGTTACAAAACACGGCTGTGCTCAGTGATGTTCACTCTTCCAGTAATTATGGGTAAGCATGGGGAGGGTGTGCTCGTCAGCCATTAAACAGTGGGAGCTGCAGAATGGGTGAAGGATCTTCCTTGTGAACTGTACTTGGGGAGCCATACAGGTGGACTCATGTTTGAAATATTTTGTCCCTACTATTTGTGTGCATTTTGTAATTCCTATGCCAGGGCCAAGAAGGACACTTGAATCACTGACAAATTCTTTCTTCAGATTCGGGCTTGTAAAAAATGGAAGAGTAAGAACATGGCAAATATTTCACATCTTTCACACTGCTTCTTTTCATAGTATCAATACTGCAAATTACCTGGTTCTCTTGTACTTTCATGCATGCTTACTATTGCTGTGTATTCAAACGAACTTTCCCTTTGAATGGTAGGCTGTGCAGATGGTAAGAGAAGAAATTTAATTTATTTTTTTATTTCATAAAACATGAATTTAAATATACTGTAACATGTGTTACCTTGAATTGAGGTGTATATTCCTTTGGAGGTCCTACAAATATGAAGAGGAACAATGTCAGCTATGCAAAAATTTGGCAAAGTAACCAATTAACAGCACAATACTAAGAGGGAAGTAAATCTTTCCAAGTGGCTATCTTGGGAAATTGTGAACTATTTAGATTGTGGTCTTTGGAGACAACTTTTCCTTCCTTTCATGTTTTTAGTTTACAATAGCAATAAAAAAGAATAAAAGTTAAAATATTAGGAAAAATACTTAACTAAACTTAAAAGTAATATTTTTTGGAGTTACAGGAGACTAGTGATCATCACTTAGGAAAATGCAAACACACCACTTTGAAAGAGCTGACTGGTGAGGAGGGGTATAACCTCTGGTCAGACATCAACCCCAGGACCCTGAGGAGTTACTATTGCTGTGTACACGGGAGGTAACTGTCACAACCCATATACTAACTGGAACATATCAGGAATGTTCATACTGTCATAATATAGCAATTTACTGTGTTACTTATTTGTTCCATGACTCAGCAAGAACAAAGAGATTATGCAAACTGCATTTTAAGAAATGTGTGGTGCTTTGTATCAACACCCCTTCCACCAACTGCAACCATTGGAGACACTCAGTACTCCAAAATATTCTGGATTTTTGTTGTTGTTTCTTACAAAGCAGCCAAGGTGTAATGGTATATTTTCATTTTCTTACTAGATTAGGGAATCTAGTATTTTCTTAGCAACTCAGTGGAAAAGATAATGGAAGTATCATCTGAATGTAAAGGTTCCTCCTGATTATATAATACTGGAGGCATCTAAGAACTGTGGAGAGAATGAAATGATTCAGCTCACCATAATTCTAGCATTCCATTCTGGTTTTGCAAAACTATGCAGCTGCAATGGGTGAATATAATTTCATTGAATCAACCTGAAATAAATTTGCTTGGGATTCCTCACCAAGAATTCCAAATTTAACCTACATCTTCTGCTTTTACATAGAGGGTAATTCACTTTAAGCAAATGATCACTGCATTTGTAGTCTTATTTTATTCATTTATTTACACACACATACACACATACACATTCTGACCACAGTATTCACCCTTATTTAGCAATGTGAGTGTATTATACAACTAGAAATGTAGATCTATTGATAACACAGAGTCTTAGTATGCTGGTTCCAAAAGGTGTCTAAACTTTCATTATCTATTCTTATTTATCTCTTTGCAGCTTTCATGTTTCATTCAAACTGGCCTAGAACCAAATCAATATTTATCCTTCCTTTGGCTCAGCTTTGTCTCAAAGTAGTAAGCAGAGAAAATCTTTGAGTATGACTGGTAGACTGGTCCCCTCTTTTACCCAAGGATAACTCTGGGATCCCAAAGCCACTGAATCACATGGCCATCACTCTCATTGTCCCTGAGAGGAAAACAGGAAGTAACATTAGGCCAAAGTGCTTCAAAATCTGTCTCCACCGACCCACTATCTCCACCACAGCTCAATTTTCCAGAGGATAATAGCCCTTGCAGAGAGTGCCAAGAGGTGGGGGTCAAGTATAAAAACCTATGGGCCAAATGGATATGATTTACCCTCTTTATAAAAAATGAAATTATTTCTTTGAGAATCTCATGCATTGTGTTTTGATCATGATGATTTGTCTTCTCCTAACTCTTTCCAGGTCTACTATGTGTCCTTTAAAGCTTAAGACCAAATTGTGCTGCCCAAATATTCTTAGGTGTGTGGCCACACATCACCTTCTAAGTACAACATGCTCCTTCCCTGACTCTGGTACTTCCTCAACTCAATAACTCTGTACTCATTTAAAGCCATGCCATCTCTGTATTGCATCGTGGTTCAATACCCCTCAGACCCTACTATGCCTTGTAATTTATTGGACAATTCAGCTCTTTCACCTACACATTTAGATAAAGTATCTGCTGAAATTGCATTAGAAATCAATCTTATTACCACTTAACTTCTTTAACTCAATATATAAAAAATAGTTATATGTCTACTTTCAAACATTGGTTCTCCTGATTTACATAGCTATTCTATTAGTGGGCATCTCATAAACATAGCTCACACCTTTCATTTCTCCACATGTATCATTTATTCTTCTTTGAGCTGCAGTCTTAGGTAAATGACTCACATCTCTCTTCTGTAGAAGACACTCAGGCATGAACTATGAAATTTAACATAAAAATGATTTGCACAAATTATCTACAAACTTATAAGACATCAGAGTTTCTTGTTTTAAAAGCAAAATACAGAAATTCAGGAAGATCTCATATGATTACATGTCATTGAGAGAGATAGAGTGTCCATTAGCTAAATAATTTCCAGGTTATTACTTCATAGGCATGCAATAAAAAAGAGAGAAGGCCTAGAGGTCACCATAAGCTGTTTCATAGAAAGAATAGTAGGTATCAAATACATGGTAGCAAGATAAACACAATTAGACTCTTCCATTCCGCCGCTGACTGACCAGGAACTAGGTGAGTGAGTCTCTGACCGCTCCCGACTCCAGGCCAGAACACCATACACCCGACCACAACCACCCCCCCC